CTAGAATCGAGTGATGTGTAGATGTTATGCTGTCGATTGAGCAAACATCGAAGGCTAGGGGAGGGGTATAAATTGGGATAGAAAGAGTTTAAATGGAGAGATGAGGATGATGATGGTTGCACTGCTAAAGGGTGAACGTTTGGCATACAAGCGCTTGTTGATCAGCATCTCAAGCTCCCATGGGACGCATATTAGCCTGTGGTGGTGGGAGATATTCACCACTGAACGTCACTGTAGCTGTGATTACATCACCACCAGATTCATTGAGGTAACAAGTGTTTATGACACAGAAAAAGAGCGCTTTCAGGGATAACAAACACAAGAGTTTACCCTCGGCACTATGAGCCATCCTCACAACATTTCACACAAAATCAAGAGAGCAATGCTGACGACAACATCAGTCTGTTCGGCTAATGATATTGAAATGACTGAAAGATAGAATGAAGGTAAATTAGTTAGACCAAGTGTCACAAAATATGTATTTCTGATCCACAGTGTGATTAAATGGCTCCCCCTAGCAGTCTAGTGTCATCATTACAATCTCCACTCTATAATATTGATTCTTTTGAGCTTGAAGTGTGAATGAACAGCTCTATTCTGATCCATTGGCTGATATAATCAGCAAATGAATCCTTCAGACTCCATAAAACAGGAAGATTTGAGAATTTAATTCAGTAAGTGTCCCATTACGGGGCAAAAGAAAGTGTGACTCACGTAAATATGCCCCAACTACTCTTACCAATGGATGCAAACAGAGGCTCAGGATCTCATCAATGCGCAAATGGAGGAACTCTGACTCATCTATTTATGCCTGTGCGTTAGATCTCGCTAATGCTGTTTTGGCTATTATCCCATTGTGCCGTGCGTCTGGGGAGAGGGAGGGGGATTGCGCTGTGAGTGTTTTAGTCACACTGAACAACCAAAAACTACAAAGGCTGGAAGATGCATTTCAAATGGCAATAGCTATGAGGGCACACATGCTACGATGCTGAAGGGGAATGAAAATGTAGAGGAAGATGTGTGCTTATCTCCTCTGATCATTCGTCAGACTGCTCACGTTGTCACATGGTTGTGAAAATATGCTGAAGTTTGAAAAAACAAAATACCAAAGAGAGACTGACTCATCAAGAGACTCAACCAGGAGTGTGTGAGCAAACTTTTGAACCTACCTTCTAATCATCAACAACACACTTAAACAATCATAATTAATCTACAAGCTTACCTAGCTTTCCTGTTACAGGCCTGAAAAAACTGTTGCTCCATTGCCTACATGAATAAAAAACATGAATTACAAAGTTTAAAAGACCCTTTAAATAAACTAGTGAATTCACTTACATTTGAATATGAGTTTCATTAGAATCTCCTGTTGAACATGGCACCATTGGAACTCTGTAAAACAGACCTAATTATTAATTCACTCTTTATGTAGTTGTAAAATACTTCACTTAATTTGTCTAATGTATACTGGATCTGGTTTCATTTGTGAATTGTTGACTCCATGTCCTATACACTTGCCTTATGTTCAATACTGTCTGTGACTGTCTGCCTGAAAAAGAACAAAGCATAACATGCAGAGAATACAAACATCACTTCCTGCCACACACAGACAAGCAATATTCACACTGAAAGCAGCCTAAATGGTTTTGAACTTTGTACAATCTCTGACAAAAGTCTTGTTGCTTGTGTTCAAACTGACTTTACAAGAAATGGCTCGTTTTAATCCCAACAGCTTTTGTAATAATGTTTCAGTACAAAGTGAAACTGTCAAAAAGTATTCCAATATTCTGAGCGTGGTAAAGTCCATTGAGTGAGTTTTTGCAAAACCATGTGTTGCCGCCTTGTCATTAGAACTTCACCTGTAACTAATAATGAATAAATTAGGTCTTAGGTGTGTATAAAAAATACCCCAATACACTAGACCTCTGCAAACAAGCCTACGATTCACCTAGAGACAAAAGGGTTGGTTATCAAAAGGCAGACACCTTCAACATGTTTCAGCGTCAAGTACAGAGGATAACAAAAAGGATTTGAAGACTGGAGACGTTTTTGACTTGCCCAGGTCAGGCAGACCCCGCAAGAAAACTGCTCGAGAGAACCGTTTGTTGGCTCGAAAATCCAAGGCCAGCCCATTTTCCACAGCAGCAGAGCTCCACGGGACCTGGTCACCTGGAGTCCTTGTGTAAACAAACAGTTTGTCGAAATCGGTTTCAAAATGGCCTCCATGGCTGAATCAGTGGCCAGAAGCCAGCACTAAACAAAAGACAATTGAAAATACGTGTGGCATTTTTTTTTTTTTTATTTTTTTTTTTTGGCTTATTCTTGTTGCTTTGTTTGCTGAACTTTATTTTTCTTCTCTCTTATTGTTTCTTTTTTCTTCTACTCCTCCCCTTCCTTTTCTGTTTTTATTTTTTATTCTATTTTATTTATTTATTTTTATTATAAGTATTTTATTAATTTTTGTTTATTATCATTAGTTTATTTTCTCTTTTCCTCTATCTCCCCTTCAAACTTACTACTTACTACTATTATTATTTGTTATTATTATTATTATTATTATTATTACTTGTCCTCTCCCTGATTTTCCCATCCTTTTTCCCATCCTCCCCTCTCCTCGACACCTTTGTCATAAATGGTATTACTTTTATTTTTTGAAATCATTATTATTATTATTATTACTGTTCTGACTTGTCCTGTTATCTTTCCATTATCATTATTACAAGTATTTATACCATTATCATTATTAAGGTTGCAGTTGTTGTAGTAGTAGTAGTAGTAGTAGTTGTAGTTGAAGTAGTAGACAGTGTAATAGTATCGATTGTTATTGAGTAATTGTTACGGAGATTTTTGAAGTAGTAGTTCATGTAAGTAGTAGCAGAAGTAGTAATGGTGTGGTAGTTACAGTAGTAGTAGTAGTCGTTGTTGGTGTAGTAATATCAGTAGTAGATGTTGTTGATGTAGATGTAGTAGAAGTGATTGTAGTAGTAGTAGTAGTAGTGGTAATAGTAGTAGTAGTAGTAGTAGTAGTAGTAGTAGTAGTAGTAGTAGACGTTGTATTAGTTGTAGCAAACGCTATAGTAGTATCAGTAGTGGTAGTCGTTGTAGTAGTATCAGTATTAGTAGACATTGTAGTAGTAGTAGTCGTGGTTGTGGCTGTAGTAGAAGCAGTAGTAGTTGTAATATAAGTAACTTTTTGTAGTAGTAGTTTGTGTAGCACTTGTGATTTATTATTATTGTTGTCAGTTATTACTGTTGTCCTTTCTTTCTTTTTACTCTAATTTTTACTATCATACATTAATAAGCATTGTTGTTACTCCCTACCTCTGACTGGTTTCTTTCTATATGTTTTATCTATATCTGTGACACTTGCTTCATTTATTGACTGTTATTGTTCCTTATGTATGTACTCTGACCTGTCCACCAAGTTACCTTTACATGCATACACACACTCACACACACACACTCACGCACATACCAGTACATGACTATATTGTTGTTGTTTTTGTTTTGTTTTTGTTTCGTTGCTTTGTATTTGTTATTTGTTGACGTTTTCTTGTATTTGTATGATTTTTGCATATTCTAATAAAAAAAAAAAAAAAAAAAAAAAAAAAAAAAAAAAAAAAAAGAAAATACGTGTGGCATTTGCCAAGGCGGAAGATTTTTTTTTTTTTTCAGATGAATCTTTTGTTGAATTACACCGGTTGCCGCAAATATTGAAGGAGACCTACTAGAGCAGGGGTGTCTAAACTCGGTCCTGGAGGGCCGGTGTCCTGCATAGTTTAGCTCCAACTTCCTCCAACACACCTACCTGGGACTCTAGTATACCTAGAAAGAGCTTGATTAGCTGGGTTAGGTGTGTTTAATTGGGGTTGGAACTAAAATATGCAGGACACTTGCCCTCCAGGACCGAGTTTGGACACCACTGTCCTAGAGTCTGCATGGATATAAGATTCACCTAAAAAAAGTACGTAAAACAAGGTCTAGAGTTACATCCAGTATGAGGGTGTGCGAGGGATCTGCAGGTTGCAAGTCAACATCAATAGTCTAAAATACCAGGAAATCTTAGCTACCTCTTATATTCTCAACCATAAAAGAGGGCAAATTCTGCAGCAGGATGGTGCTCCATCGCATACTTCCATCTCCACATCAAAGTTCCTCAAGGCGAAAAAGATCAAGATGCTCCAGGATTGGCCAGCCCAGTCACCAGACATGAACATCATTAAGGATGAAAGAGAATACATGGAAGAGGAAACCAAAGAATACTGATGAACTCTGGGAGGCATGCAAGACTGCTTTCTGTGCTATTCCTAATGACTCTATCAATAAATTGTATGAATTCTTGCCAAACCGCATGTATGCAGTCCTAAAAGCTTATGGAAGTCATTCAAAATATTAAATTTGGATCTCACAGCACCACAACCTAATGCACTGTTATATATTTTTTGCAGTAAATATGTTCAATTTCTGTAAAGGTGACAAAACTTTTGTCTTACTAAAATTTGACCTTTCTTTCTTGATTAAATGATACATCTTTTTTCAGTGAAACTAATTTATTTCAGTGCATCAAACATCATTTGAGAGAGGTTTAGCTTTTCATATGAGCGATTTCTAACTTCTAACATTTGGTTGATTAAAAGTCAGATTAATAGCAGGCGTTTGTACAAAATAGATAAGCGACAAGACTTTTGTCAGCGACTGTATACAAGCTTAGAAATTAAAGCATACAAAAGCTATCACTGGGGTGCATCTATTTTACCTAAAAAAGTACAAAAGTATACTTTTTGAAAAGATAACATTCCAGTGACCGCTTTCGTATCTTTACTTGCATCTTTTCTATTTAATTAACAGCACACATAACACATGAATTACACACAATAAAATAAAGCAAATCTTATCAATCAGAAAAACACAACGGTTTAAAAAAAATCATAAAGAGCAAGATATGAGAAAATCTATGAATATATTATTTCAATATTTAAATAAAATATTTAATTAAACTAAAGAAATAAGAACTTTTGGATTTATTTTCTTTAATGAAGCCAAACAGCAATGGACCAAAATAAGTGCACTGTTGTCTACTGGTTCACACAGATGACATTGTATTGTCTGAGCCAGAAAAAGCCTTCAGCGCTTCAAACCTGAGGATATAATCACATTAAACCAGATGTAAAATTGACATAATTTAACAGGCTTCCAGATTATTACATTAAACAAGCAAATAAAAAAATTACACCAATTATCTAAATCACTTAAGAATGAATTACACTTTGTTGTAACAAACATATGGCACCAGTTGAGCATCTTGATTTACCACTCGATTCTGGCTTGCTACTGATTTTTAATACTTCTCAGCCATAATAAGTACAGTCAAAGCCGACCAGCCAGTAAAAGGGTGACTTCCCTGCCCCCTTCCAGTGCTATCATTGTACTGTTCCCAAATGTATCCTGTTTCCAGATACTGCTTGTAAACATTATTCATGAGGTTAGTCCTGAGCTCTTGGTATAAGGTAGCTGCCTTTTCCTTGTATGGCCCTTCTATGCTGCCATAGTGATGCAGTGCTCTAACAGCCAGGTAGTTGATGTTGATCCAGATGGGTCCACGCCAGTAGGGGGCGTCATGTTCTGTGTTCCTCTTCATGTAGAGTGGATCTGCGCGGGACAGTGAGCGGAGGCCATATGGTGTCCAAAGGCGCTCTGGATCTTTAATGGCTTGCAATATATGCTCAATTTTTGGCGAGTCTGGTGTCAAAATATGTAGCAAGAATGGAAATAGGCTAACGTAGCCTAATGCATTCACATACTGCAGCTTAGGGGCTCTGCGGACAGAACGAACCAATCGAGCAACTGGGAACTGGTGCCGTGGTTGTCCAGGTGGCACAAACACTTTCTCCTGCTGAAGTGAGACTGCTTGGGTATGATTTCCGTAATCACTAAATGCGTGTAGATTCTCGGACCAGTGCAGCTCGTTCAACAGGTCGTTATTGCTCAGACTACGATGGGTGTTTTCATATACTTGGTGGGGCTCTCCAAGTATTCGTGCAACATTTGCCATGACACCAGAGGCTAAGGTCATCCAGCAATACAAGTCCACGTGCCTTTCATCAGCAGATGGGTGGGAAGCCCGTGGGTAGTCATCCAAGCCAGAGGTCAGCGTCTTGGGATTTAGGAAAAGATTGGTGTCTTTGTCCCTTCCTCGCCAACGGTAGGAGTTGGGAACAGGTCCAACTTGTGTGGTGTTAAACCACTCGAACCAAACCTGCAATCTAGGGTACAACTTTCTCAAGAAAGGAAGCATGGTCTGAGAGGACACTAACTCTGCATCAAGCTGCTCCAGCAGCTCCTGTAGGGCCAGGAAGAGCGTGGGAGGGTTTGCGTTTTCATTGTGCTGCACTATAAACTCAGATGGTACTTTGCTGCGTGCTTCATCATCCAAGATTTGCTCCCGTGGGATCCAGCCTTCTATGTTGATCAGATCGAGCCAGTGTGCAAAGACCTCCTGTGTTAACTGGGTGTCCCATTTGCTTAGGAGAAGCTGATGAAATCCTTCATCCCAAAGAAAGCCTCTTGGAAAGAAAGATCGCGATGGTACTGCTGTGAACAGCGGCCCCTCAGGGTAAAGCACGGGGTGTTCATTGTAAACCGACTGCACCACCGATGGTCCGAAAAAATATCCCATGCCACCAAGCATGTTGCTTAAAGCTGCCTTGGCAAATTTGATATGTGAAGATGTGAATCCTTTAGCTTGAAGACCAAACGTAGCCTCAAACTTCTCATCAAATGCCACCTTACGCTTCTCCAGTTCATCCGTGAGCACAGAGCCCACAAGCTGATTCGGTCGTTCACGGAAACTTCCGGATTCAAACAAGACTTCAATCTGAAAAGGTGTTTGAACAGTCACCTGATGCACGACAAAATCACTCTCCATCTTGGGATCGTTCTGTTGATTCTGGTGGTTAGTTACTTTGTAAGTATCCACAGCAAAATAAGACCTTTTTTCACCTTTGGGAGGACTGAAAATGAACTTGTGATTCAGGCTGTTCTTCACTATATCTGTCAGCTTATCAAGACCAGGGCTTCTTGTTTGCAAGAAATTATATCTGAAAAGATATAAGAAATAAAGTAAAACAATAGAGTAATTTGAAATAAGATGTTTTAGTATTTAATTTTCCCTCACTCGTCTGCTCTGCATACAATTCAAGTATAATTTTGTTCTTAAAGAGCTGTACAATATTTCAAATAGATTTAAAAATTAATTTGAGCTCCAATAAAATTTCATTATAAATTACTCATTGTTTCACTGCTCTGTAAACAAATGTTGCAAATATTCAGTCTTTTTTATTATATTGTATATACTGTTAAAGTCAGAATTATTAGCCCCCTTTGATTTTTTTTTCTTTTTTTTTTAATTTCCCAAATGATGTTTAACAGAGAAAGAACATTTTTTACAATATGTCTGATAATATTTTTTTCCTCTGGAAAAAGTCTTATTTGTTTTATTTTGGCTAGAATAAAAGCAGTTTTTTTTTTTTTTAAACAACAGAACAAACCATCACTATACAATAACTTGCTTAAATACCCTAACCTGCCTAGTTAACCTAATTAACGTAGTTAAGCCTTTAAATGTCACTTTAATCTGTATAGAAGTGTCTTTAAAATATTAAGTAAAATATTATTTAATGTCATCATGGCAAAGATAAAATAAATCTGTTATTAAAAATGAGTTATTAAAACTATTGTTAAGAAATATGTTGAAAAAAAAAATCTCTCCATTAAACAGAAAATGGGGGGGAAAAAAACAGGGGCTAATAATTCTGACTTCAACTGTACATTGACTAGTACAGCTCAATATGTACAAGTAATTGTTTTTTTTTTATTCATTATTGTTTTTTTACTGATTGTGTTAAATAGGAACTTAATAATTTTTGTATACTGTACAATCACGAAAGCAAATTTATATTTTGAAGACTTTGGGGTTTGTTTGTGTACATAATATCGGCATTTTGCAATAAACATTTTAATATAATGGCTCTCAGTGCAACTCTGAAGACATTAATGTTCACAGGCAGTAGTCCAAGTTGTGTTTGGATTAGGCGTACAGCATACTTTTGCTTTATTATTTTAAATCTGCCTCATTCTGTAACATCAGCTAATTATGCTCTTATGACTTGATTCCATAAAATAAATAAGCATTTTCTGCATTAAAATCCAATGACCCATATTATAGAAAGTAATTAAAATTAAATAAAATCCTGCATTTGACCAAATACAGGGGCGCCCCCAAGGGTAAACTCTGGCCACCCCTGTGGCCACCCCTTTGGCCACCCCAATATAATTTTGCTGTTGACATTATGTACTTATAAATCCACAACGTTTAAATAAATAAAATGGAGCCACTAAATTATTGTTGGTGTTACTGATGTAGCTGATTCATTGTCTCTCCCCCTTAGTGCTGGTTCAATGCTGAATGCTGGTGAAAGCAAACTGACGCATGCGCGCAGAAAACCATTCCCGCGCGCCTCACGCACTCCTGTGTGAATCCCGGTTGGTTGTTTGCATGCACGCCGACAAAATACAGTACGCGCCGCTCATGCGCCGTGAAACGGAGTAACAGCCTTTTGTGCAGAGGTGAAAGTCGACTAAAGTTTATATAATATCATGATGATGATGATGATGTTACTTTCACTAAGCATGCCTTTAAAGCAGAAAGGAGGGATAATGAGTCAGGGAGGTAAGACTTCATAACATGATTTCTCAGATCTGGTCTAAGACCACAGATAATTCTATAATACATTTTTTGTTTTCTTTAGAATTGTCATAATTAATTTTCATGCAAAAGGTTTCTTAAGTGATCTTGGCATATCACTCCAGTTGTTGTTTTCCTGTAATATTTAGGACTGATTTCTGTTATTTATTCAGAATAATAATTGTATAATAATATTAATTGTATTTATTTAAAATAAATATAAATAAATTTTTATATTTATTGAATAACAAATCTAACAATTCAAGGGAGGTGGGGTGTATAGGGTGGCTCGCCCAGGGTGTCATTTAAACTAGAACCACCACTACCCTTCCCGATCGTCGTTGACAGCACGCACACACCTTCAATAGACAGCAATGGCAAATTAATATTTACCTTAAGGTACAGTATATCAATAGAAGAAGCTGCATTAATAAAATGGCTCAAAAAGTAATATGGATAAATGATATTATTTGGTACAGTGAGTGTGTATAGTAATGCCTTTTTGTTTCAGTTTGATCATTTGTTTGGGTTATTAATAAACTCATTATTCTTTCATTCATTTTCTTTTCGGCTTAGTCCCTTTATTAATCCAGGGTCGCCACAGTGGAATGAACCGCCAACTTATCCAGCACATTTTTACACAGTGGATGCCCTTCCAGCAGCAACCCATCTCTGGGAATAATAAACTCATTAATCTTCATTAATTTTAGACATGGCATATACCGTATGATGTACAATAAAAGCACGTAAAAAGTTATTTATGTATATATATATATATATATATATATATATATATATATATATATATATATATATGAAAAGTGTTTTTAAACTAAACATAGATTTTTATTTGGTTTGCACATGTACTTCTTGAATTACTTCAAGGAATAAATAGCAATATTTCAAGAAGAATTAATTAAATGAATAAAAACTACATTATTACATTTACCAAACACAAAAATATAACATTACACTGAATTCATAATTTTTTTTTTGTGTGCCACCCCAAGATTTGGTGCGGCCTCTTCTGGCCACCCCTAAGAAAATTTTCTGGGGGCGCCACTGACCAAATACATACACAATATTCACAGTTAATAATTATTACATGAATAATAAATACCTGGCATATTTGGCACTAGCACCTTCTCCTGCTGTCGGTTTGCCAAAAGTAATCTTAAAGTTGCCAAGCTCCTCAGATGTTCCTGTGACAGAACTCACACGATTTTTCTCCTCAACGTGAGCCTGCAATGAACCTTGACCATCTGTGGAAGCGTAGAACATTAGCGAGACCACAGGAGTCGACAAAGCAGTGCCCTGTTAATCAGAAACAGAAAGACTTGAATTGACAAAGCATTTTTGATAAACCATAAATCTTAATATTCCTATACTTTTGATTTATCTAATTGAACCACTCTAACTGTATATCATTTTTTTTAAATAACAGGAAAAGTGTAAAGTTATGTAAAGCTGATTAAACTACCATATAGTATCTGACATTTGAAAGATTACAGAGACAATAAATCATAATAAATAAAATAATAATGAATAAATAAAACGACCCAATTAATTTTAACTTCCTGAGCATGTGTACTGACAGTAGTTAATTTTCTTTATTTTGTGTTTCTTTCTGTACAACTTATATTACAGGGTCAAACATGAGATTTCCCATTTTTGGTGTCTGCATCAAGTTAAATTTCCAAACAACTAAAACAAACAGAGACCATATTAAAACCAAAGCTTGTAATGTTTCAAATAACAATTGTGAGGATAAAACATCAAAATATGGGTGTAATACTGTTCCACTGTCATTCAGAGTAACATTTATTTATGTACAAACAAAAGATCATTCTTTTTCTGCCCTCTACTTCCTAAAATACTGTATATAAAAACATATGTGATGATCAAAAATGTTATATTTTAAACTAATAAAATCAAATAGGCAAAACCAAGTTGTTTTATTGATAGCGACAAAATGTAAAAATGTAAAATGACAATTCATTTGTGTTTTGGAGATGCACTGCAATCCCTACATGGAGTCTTTCAATATGTTTTCTAAATATTACCTAAAAATAATTTTAGTACATAAACTTCTGTTACAATAAATAACTTCTGTAAATCAAGATAAAAATGTATGATAGTCATTTATTTTTTGCTCATATAATTGTAAACATAATTTTCCGAACAATAAAAAAACAACACTTTTAATCTATAGACATGGACATCTAGACAGATAATAATATAGATAGATAGATAGATAGATAGATAGATAGATAGATAGATAGATAGATAGATAGATAGATAGATAGATAGATAGATAGATAGATAGATGGACGGAAGGACGAACGGACGGACTAACGGACAGACAGACAGACAGATTGATAGATGGATGGATGGATGGATGGACGAACGGATAGACAGATAGGATAGATAGGATAGATCGATAGACGGACGGACAGATAGATAGAAAGATAGACAGATCAATAGATAGACAGACAGATAGATAGACGGATGGACAGATAGACAGACTGATAGATAGAAAGATAGACAGATAAATAGACAGACAGACAGATAGACGATGAGATGGATAGACAGACAGACAGACAGACAGACAGACAGACAGACAGACAGACAGACAGACAGACAGATAGATAGATAGATAGATAGATAGATAGATAGATAGATAGATAGATAGATAGATAGATAGACAATTATATAGATGGATAGATAGAAGGATGGATGGTAGGATAGACAGACGGTTGGACAGACTAATGTACCGTTAATTAAATAATTAGCTAGACAGAAAATTAGATAGACAGATGTATAGAGAGATAATTAGGCAGACAGACAGACAGATAATTAGATAGATGGATAGATAGACGGATGGTTGGACGGATGGACAGACGAACTAACAGTTAATTAGATAAGCAGATAATTAGACAGACAGATAGAGAGATAATTAGACGGACAGATGTGTTATTTACATGTTGTTTTGCAGTGATTCTCCAAGTCCAGTCTCCCCCATGATCTCCACCCATGCGCTTGACGAACTCTGTGGTCAGGGTGAAATCCCGGTCATGGATCTCCTGGACTCCAAAAGAGACTCCATCATGCATTAACCATCCATAGCCCAGCAAATGGTCCCCTTGCTCACATGTGTGCCTGAGATTTCCATCCATTTCAGCAAACTGGTGCATCCACATTAAACCTAAAGAAAAGGTATGTTTGTAACAACACCACGAAGACAAGTAAAAACCACACAAACTAAGCAATTTGGGCACACAGAGAAAGCATACAAAACACCTCACCTGTCACAACAGATCGAGGACTTCTTGTTTTCATCCCAAAGTACACCTGGGGACGATAGGAACCCCAGTATCTTTCGGGAGAGACTGCAGGGCTTGAACTATTAGCATCCAAGACCCTTGGAGAGGGGTGCAGTGTCACAACCCTTCTGGCTAAGGATGAGCGCATATAAAGAGCATAGAAGAACCAGATGAGGCTGAAGATGCACAGACCGATGGATATATTGATGAACACTTTCCCGATGTCAGTTTTTTTCTTCTTCTCCTTGCGTGGTGGAGCAGGTGCCTTTTCCTCCTTTCTTGGACTTGGAACTCCATCACCTGTTGCAACCCTCTTCCTCCGCCTACCCATCTTTCTTATGATCTGACCAGGCCCGTCTGAGGATCACATTCAAATGCACCTGCAAAACACCAAAAGTCAACAGATTGATAACAGGATTAGATGATTAGCCAAGTAATTCATTAACTAACGCTACATTTACATCTTATGATAATGCATTTCGTGGAAAATAAGCCACTAAATATCACTATTAGGTTAACCTTTCAATTGCTTTTCAAGTTGCTGCACATATAATAAACAACTAGCTAACTTAACAAAAGGACAAGGATATGAATGAAAGAACGAATGAATGAATGAGATTCAGATCGAGAGGGCCTATTAAACGCGTCTGCAAGTGTTTTTCTCTATACTAATTATGAACGATACCTTAAGCTAACTGAATATAGGCAAACATATGTTTTATTTTATCGATGACGTTACCTTATGTACGTGTCAGTAATCTACTGAACATGGTAATCAGCAGCACAGGCACTTCCGCGTTTCTTGAGAAGCTGTCAGACGACTGTAGATGCAGAATCACTCCTTTTCAAAATAAAAGTCCGCGTTGTCGCATTTATGGTTTGTTGAAGAACACGCCGGTTCTCTATTCATTATCACCACACAAAAGCCATGGGAACCTTTATATCTGAGGCATCTGATGTCTGTACACTTGTTGACGTTTTATTGTTGTTATTTGTGTAATAATTTTAGAGAACATTTGATAATTAATTTACACTAGACGTTTACACGCTATGACTCTCATCAAAAGACTAACCAAATACAGTTCTTAAATATAGTTTGCAACAACGACAACAAACAGTCCAGAATTTTAATTGGATTTAAACAACCTTCAGAACTTGTAACTTGTAAGGAAAATACAAGAGGAAAAATAGATTAGGATAATTTTGGGTTTTCCAAACCTACTGGGTCAGCATTGTCAATATCACTCTGTACCCCAAGATTGGTTGCCCACTGAGGCTAAGCAGCATTGTACATCTGTACTTGGATGCTGGACCACCTTGGAAAACAAGCTTCGGGTGGTGTTGGTGAAGCCAGCAGGGGGTGCTCATCCTCATTGCCACAAAAATGGGGACACTGTTATCTGGTTGGAAGCACAATGGGATCGTCTCGTCCTCACCTATAATGGCCTCCAAATTATCCCTTTCACTGACCTGTCTCTATCAAGGTCTCTCTCTCCACCAACATCTTGTGTGGTGAGTGAACTGGCTGTTCGGTCCTGTGGCTGCAGTCATATCATCCAGGTAAAGCTGCATACTGGTGGTGGTGGTGGTTGTAGAGAGACCACTTCTTATGATTGCAAAGCAATTGGGGTGCACGACAACAATACAGGTTAAAGGCACTATTTCCATGCAATAATTCATAATATCACTAATATACTAAGATAGAACATACATTAAATCAGTTTTATACTAATCAGTACATATTAATACAAGAAAATGTAGGTTTCTTTGATTTAACATTGAAAAGTACTTACAGGTGGAATAAAGATTCAAGATCTTTAAAAGTTTAAAGAACTTAAGCTGTTACCTTGATGATGCTGCTACCACTAGAAGACTTATGAAAGATATTAAGGTTTTCCTGTAAGACTATAAAATTAATAAGGTTTAACTGTTTTTGCATATTGTATTTGAATGAATTATTACATCCCCTAATGAATCAAATGCCACAATGTTAATAAGGTAACTGTGTCCCAGACTTACAAAAAAAAAATAAAATAGAAATCACCTGAATTTGTTTCTCTGTGCGATGTGGCAATGTGAACTATAATATAAGGACTGGTCTTTAAAACTATTGTCCTAGCCATGAACTAAGCTCTTATCTTTCCCTAATGCTGATCATTTGTGCAATAATTAATGTTACAGTAACATGCATAAAATAATTATATTCATAGATCATTTTTAATTTTTAAAGGGTTTTAAAAGTTCAAAACATACAGATTGATAGATTTTCAACTCTGGGCAAACTACAAAAACTCAAACGGAAGTGTCATGGATATACGAGTACTCATCAACCAAAACAACAGTGGTGGACTACAGAACCATAATCATATGAGTGCAGAGTAGAAAAGTTGCGTTTCTTTACAAAAGTGACATCTAAAACCAATGGTCTGGCATGCGTAATACAACATTTGTTTGTCATTTTCATGGATACATGTTGACAATGTTACTGTCAGTATAACTGCAGAATTGCAGTTATGGTTCAGGGTTCATACACATTTTTCCTACAATAATTCCATGACCTTTCCAGGGCTTTTCAAGTCAATTTTCATGACCTTATGTTTCATGTAATGTCTACATATGCATGGTAAATCATAAAGAACGTTTAATTTTATTGCAGCATATCATAAAACATGCAATAGTTTTAATTTATTTTTATATCTATGTAAAATAGATGATGCTTAAACAGCATTAATAATGTGAGAGCATGTTTTTGGCAAAGAAAAGAAGTAAAAACAACTGACCTCCATTCCAATACACAGATATTTGTCAAACTAATTTTAGATAATCTTAATAGTTTGTTAAACCAGTAATAGTAGGTAAAACTACTTCTATTATAAAGCCGTGATCACACTGCACTTTTCACTCCACAGACTTCCATTCATAGGCATGCAAATGCGGCACACCAGAAACGCAAGCACTTGTGACAAGTTTCGCATTTCACTGCATTCGAAAGTTCAAGCTTATTGAATTCTTACCTGCAAAATCACATTAGGTGATTGTGCGAGACCGATAGAAGATAATTAAAAAAAAGAAATGTAAAATATGGAGTAATCGCTTTTATTAATGTCAAATCATATTGTTTAACCCCGCCCATTTTGCAGAACAGATTTTTGCAAGCACAAGCTCTAGTGTGACCGCAGCTTAAGTTGCTTTGGACAAAAATGTCTGCTAAATGACTAAATGTAAAAGTAATTTCCATGACTTTTCCAAAATCTTGTGGGTTTTTCTGTATTTCCAAAACTTTTCCAGACCCGGAATTTGCCATGTCAAAATTCCATTACTTTTTTAGGTTTTGCATGACCGTATGAACCCTGATGGTTGAACTTTTGGGTTATTTCAACTTTTTAAAATAAAATATATATTATAGTCTTTTTGTTGCCGTCACGGTGGCTCAGTGGTTAATACTGTTGCCTCACAATAAGAAGGTCGCTGGTTCGAGTCCTGGCTGGGCCAGTTGGCAATTCTATGTGGAGTTGACATGTTCTCCCCGTGTTGGCATGAGTTTTCTCCGGGTGCTTCGCTTTCCCTACAGTCCAAAGACATTGAATAAACTAAATTGGCCATAGAGTGTGTGTGTGAGAATGTGAGAGTGTATGGGTACTATTTCCCAGTACCAGGTTGCAGCTGGAAGGGCTTCCGCTGTGTAAAATATATGCTTGAATAGTTGGTGGTTCATTACACTGTGGCGACCTCTGAAATAGAGACTAAGCCGAAGGAAAATGATTGAAAGGTTTTCATAACAAATTACACACATCACTATCAGTGTAAAAAAGTATGACAATTAAATGAAATATATACAATTAAAAAAATTTGTAAAATAAATATATATGTTCATATTTCATGTATAAAAACCCAAACAAACTGTAACAGTCAAAACTTTTGTTCATAAATAACCATGCGATCTGCTGTTATAAGGTGTATTTATTAAGCATATAATAATATTTTATGTTAAAATGTATACAATAATCTGTCACATTTACTTCAATTAGTGTAAAGACAATATTACAATGTTTACTGTACATTACAGCACAGATAAAATCAAAGAAAAGAACGTGAAAGTAATTTCCATGAAATAAGTAGGGTGTTGAATTTATCCACTTGCAATTGTTTGAATTGTTGGGAATGAATTTAATATTGATTATTTTGTTGTTAATGGTAAAAACTGCAATTGCACATAGTTCCTTTTGATAAAAGACAGTCTTTTCTATTATCCGCAATAACGAGCAACAGTAGAACTTAATACTGTAAAACCAATAACCATGGACAAAGTATGTAGAATCAATTTTTAACATGGTTAAGTTAATTTTGAATTGATTGATCATGACTTCTTTCTACCTTATGCCATCTACACTTGTCCAGTAGACATGCAGATTCTCTGTTGGTGTTTTACCAAAATGTACTTGTGTGCAAACATCCGTCCGCATCGATCGCAACCGAAAGGCTTCTCACGCGTGTGGATCTTCATATGCGTTTTGAGGTTTGAAGACTGGTTGAACATTTTCCCGCAAAGGCTACAACCATAAGGCTTTTCGCCTGTGTGAACAGTCACATGTTTTTTGAGGTTACTTTGGTCTGAGAAGTGTTTCCCACAGTGCTGGCATCTGAATGGTTTTTCTCCTCTATGAATGCTGTGATGTCTTTTAAGGCTAGACGCCTGACTGAATCTTTTTCCGCAGAGCGTACAGTTGTGAAGCCTTTCTCTGGTATGAAGTTTTTGATGTAAAAGAAGAGTGCCGGGTTGAGAGAACACTTTCCCACAATGTTTACACATAAACCTATCTTTCCTCTGCATGTGAGGAGAATCAGACTGTTTGAAAGAAAAGCATGGTGTGAATGGAGGCTGTTCAGATTGAGAAATATTACCTTCATTGTCGTGTGTTAAATGGCCTTCAATATTAGACACAGACAAGCTATTGGAGTTAATTGGAGTTGCATAGGAACACATGGGATCGGTGCTCCCTCTGTACATCAAATACTGATTCACAGACGGTCCCCCATTGCATTCAGATTCAGTGTAGGATGGATGGTTTGCGCTTGCGTCAAATCTTCTGGAGACCCATGAGGCATAGGAAGACACAGGCTGGAGGTTAGAATCCACCTCTCCATCACAACGTCTCTCCATTCTGGTGTCACCTATTTTTAAATGACATGCTTACTATATTTTGAGCAATACATGGCAGCTTTATTAAATCATTTCAATCTTATCTGAAATTAATTAAATGGACATTAAACAAACAAACATGCACAAAGCAGGCACACATTAAGTTTAAATGATGATAAGAGACATCAGTTATTCATTCATTCATTTTCTTTTCGGCTTATGCCGAGTTCAGACCAAGGTTATTATAGTTAATGAAAATGAACAAAAAAAACAAAAACTTAAATGTAAAATAATTGTCGTTAACTGAAATAAAAATGAGAGTTTTTAAAAAAACTTTTACTAGCTGAAACTGCATTGTGTAAGTACACAACTAACCGAAATGAGCTAAAATTATAGCAAAAACCTCGCTGTTGTTCCCACGACAAAAACAATGAGTGGACACGACAGCAGCGTGGTGACAGCATTACATACAGACACATAGAACTATTACTTTAATACATTTGTGCCCAATAATGGGTTTTATTTCTACATAGCGATTGCAAATGATTTTTTTTAAACGGACCTTCTAAGTGAAGAACTAGTACACCAAATCGAACCAAATCATTTAAAACGATTCGCTTCTCCAGTAAGCACTCATCCACAAACGACTAAAATACCCCCACAAAGCCCAATACCCCCTCTGACTCTAAA